AGCATGATCCTGCCTCTCTCTACTAGCATGTTCCTTGGTCTGCTCCATTCCTTCTACCTAGGGGGTAACATATCCCTGATGCACCCGCTCTGGAGGGGATCAAAAACCCCAAGTAACATGAGCAGGCAACTTAGCAAACCGCTTGTACTTTTATTCCACCCTCAGAAGCCTGTTCTGCCAGACACATTGTGGCAGCGATGGGTGAGACCAGAGAGTCCAGGGGCAGAGAGATCATATAGGTCAGTATCCCACAAGACACCACCTCCTGCTTGCAGGCACACTTACATGAGACTACCCCATGCCGAAGGACAAATCTTAAGAAGAGTTCAGGTGCAGACTCTGAACCCCAGGCATGCCAGCCTAAGCCCACCTGGCACAACCACAGAGGTGACTGCAAGGCAGAGGAAAGTTTGGTACAGGCTGATTCTGCAACTAGGGCACATTTTAGAACATCCTTGAGGCTACAGTAACTTCTGCTACCTGTCCCAATTGCAACAGCTGAACACGGAGCTTGCTTTGGCCATGACCCCAGGGCCACAGGACCGTCGAATTAAATAGCTTCCTGCATTCACCAGGGACTGGATGGACCATGCTGAGATTTGCAAGCAGCTGCCAGGCAAAAGAAACAGAGAAGAAATGTGACATGACCCTCCACAGGGAAGAACATCTGAAATTTCGAACACTTAGAGCATATCAAAAACATCTATGGAAGAGGAAATAGGCTGGAAACTGGATAAAGTCTCCTTGGTATCTCATCATCTTCTTGACTGTGAGAGAAGCCTTCTCTCACTGGGTGTTTGTCCCTCCGGATGCAACCCAGAGCAGAAATAGTAGCTTATTAAAACTTAAATACAGCTTTTGAAAACTTGCCCAGACAAACAAAATGTTAATTCAAGTTTTGGCTTAGTCTTCACTGCTTGAGAAATGACTCCTCTCCTGTAACAAGATGAGCTGTAACAGCTCCACTATTCCAATCACAATAGGCACAAGTATCACCTGCAACACGCCTGAAGCACACTACCCTTCAGCACACCTGGTCCCCCTTTACATCTCTCAGGCAGGGAGGGAAGGATGGGCAAGCAGCCTACGTACACAACACAACATTGGTGTTCTTTCCTCAGAAATGAAGACTGTGAAGAAACACAGGAACAGACTACCACATGGAAGCCTCTCTAATGAGAGAGTCAGCTGTTCTACCCCTCAGGGCAGAAGAAGTAGTACTCAGCTTTAATGGCAGCAAGGAAGACTAGGTACAAAGGATAACTTTCTAGCAGGAGGAACAACAAAGCACCAGAACAGATTGCATGCAAAAGTCCTTGTCAGCATTGGAGGCCTTTTAGATCAGGCTGGACAAACATTTGTCAGGAATGATGTAAGCCAAGTTGATTGGACAGGGAAATCGGTCTAGATGATTGTCAAGCTCTCTTCCAACCCATTTTGATCTATGGACCTGCATCAAGGAACTGAGTGCTGGCCAGTAATCCACACACATTCAGTACCTGGGTGCCCAGAGATCTCCCGTGTCACCCTAGTGGAGTCAATGTCCGTCAGTTCCTCACCTGGAAAAGCATCTCATCCCTACAAGACTACAGGGTTAACTGAGAGCACAGTGAGGATAAATACATTTTTTGGACTTTCTAAGGTCCCTGAGAAAGTCCCTTTCACCCCACATCTTGTGTGGAAGGCTGAAAACACTTGTGCAAGCGGTACTTCCACTTCAGGGTGCTTACATGGAAATTACACCAGAACAAGAACAGTACTGTATCTCTGTCCTCCAGCATACTAGAGATCGTCCAAACCCATGGATTAATGCAGCCCTAGGGGGACTTCGGGCCTCCCATTAAAAGCATGAGGTACAACCCCAGTCCTGTATCACAAGCTGTGAGGTCCCCTTCCAGCTTCCCCACGTAAGCCCCGTACCAAAGCTGTTTTACAGGCACAGGGATAGAGGTTAAAGCCCTGCTTTGCAGCTGCACCTATGCTGAAGCCCGCTGTTGACCCGAACTCTCTCCTGTGGAGCTGCACCTTGCCAGTGGTAGCTCTGTTCTCCAGCAGACACAGCTAAGCTGGGACCACAGCACCATCTGCAGGGCTCTGGCAAAGGCCAAGCTTTTACCAACTCCTCCTCAGGGATGGCCAGCGTGACCCTAGTAGGTACTTCACACCTGGTAACTCTCCAGAACACAGACCTGAACACACACACAACCGCACTCTTCAGGGTCCCGGAGGAAAACAAAGCCCCTCTCTGAAAGCATCACTTCAGGATACAAATCACCATTTTGACAGTTCAAAAGACCTAGTGAGTCCCAGAAAATTAAATTATGTCAGATACTGGATTACTTAAAATGCTGACTGAAGCATCAGCCTTCTGTGGCCTTAGGGAGCAGCTATGCCTCTGCAGAGAGCTCACATGCACAGTATATTGCTGGCATCAGCTGAGCCTCCCGCTCACAGGCAACAAAGACAACACAGACATGGTCCGGTGCTTTAGCAAGGGTGCTGGGAATGCCTGTGGTTCCTTAAAATCACCATCTCCAAAAAGCTCTGCAGTGCTTCTGTACCAAAATGAGCCTGGGCCAATATGCATAAAGCACTGAAGAACATATTGTACTACCAGCACATTCCCTCAGATGTGACTCTGACAAATCCAGCCTCTTGGGAGGAACAGCAATTTTTCTCCATTCTTGTCTTTATGAGAAGGTCAGCAGCACCACGTGATTTTCTGAGACATATAACCACTATGCAACACAAACCCACAGAAATGCAAGCATTTTTATTATTGCTTTAGCTATAAATATAGGAATTTAACACTTGTCCTACTGGATTAGACCAAGAGCCTGTCTCATAAAGCGTCCTGCTCAGAGCTCTGACAAGTGATTGATGCTTCTGAGAAAAGGCACACCGCTTTCTGCAGCCCAGGCACCAGCGCTCTGAGAGGGACATCTAACTCTAGTCTGCTGAAGGGAATCAGCCTACCCCTTGAAGAATGCAATATGATGCCGTTAAACGCTCTTATAAGCCAGTAAACTATGCAGCTTTTAAAGTATCCCGCAGAAGTAAGCTCTGTGGGTTGCCCTGTTTCATACATAAACACTGCTGATACCCAGATGAAATCTATGAACTTTGTTTAAAAATTAAATTTAAAGAAATAAGTCTGACAAACTGAACTTTAAAAAAGACCCTAAACTATTATTTTAAAAAACTCAAACAAACAAAACACCACCTCTTTGGCTAGAATTTCTACTCACAGCTCTAGCAGGCAAAACTGCCAGAAATCAGCAGTGCTGGAACTTTATTTCCAAACCTAGGATGAAGAGCACTTTAACTGAACTTCTTTAGTTCTCTCCTTGCCTAGATTTCCTCGACTGTGTTTAACCAGGGCAGGTGTACTGCAGTCCAGAGAAGGCTTATAACTTCAAGTAAAAAGCATATGGGACATGGTAAACAACTGAGGGGTGCAGAATGGTGGGAAGTTAAATGCAGTGTGAGTGGTATGATGGGGTGAAGGGCCAGTCTGTGAACAAAGCTGTAAAAGCCCAGAGGGTGGGGAGAGGATCCAAGTGGAGACCCAAGTGCTGGTACATCAGAGAGTGCTCAGGTATCTGTGGAAAAGCAGGACCGATGTTCAAGAGTTAAAAAGTGAGTGAAAGAGCAGGGAATGTGAGTGTGGGAGAGGGGAAAAGGACTAGCAGTATTAGTGCTCACGTAAAGCCCTCCGAATCTGCTGCAGCTTTCCAAACAGATGCAGTTTGCTGATGCAGCTCCTACCTAATGTTTCTGGGCAGGCACTCCCAGTTCAGCCTGGACAGAGAGCCTGATAGGACCTGTCACTGTCTGGACGCTTTCACCCTCTACTGAACGCTCACCTCCACTGGCCCAGCAAGTGTTTCCATTCAGACTGGCAGACCAGATCCTTCAGTTTGCTTTCTTGCCTTCCTTCCCTGGCTAGCTATAGTCAGAAAGGGAACTTGCAACACTGGAAACAACATGAAGCAGCTTGAATTTAATCCTGCCATTATTTATAATGTCGTGATGCTGACTGTCCATTTCAGGGGCTTCTCTCAGTGTTGTTTCAGGCAGCCTGACTCTGAGTCATCCTTCTCAAAGAAACAGACCTCAGCTATTCCCACAGCTGTCAAGAGTCAGGTCCTACTCCAAACTTAGCCTGTTGTCAAATTTTGTACAAGTCATTTCACCTCCTGTTTTTCAACTTCTCCATCTGCAAAACTGGAGTAGTTATTCTGGCCTTCTTTGTAGAGTCTTGCATTTAAATGCCTTACATGGAAGTTAAGCATTTCTATTACTATGAGAAGCAATGTGCGGGGGTGCCTGACGTTTATTCAGGTCTGCTAGCACGTTTGAGAATGTAATTGCCCAGCAATTCTTGTAAGGACACTGATCTGGAACACTATCTTTATTACAGTGTTTTGATTGTTTCTGGCAGCATCCACCAAGTGTCAGGTGCTGTAGATTCAGATGGTGTAACGTGCACTGATCCTTCAATGACACGTCACTCAGCAGGACTGGGAAATGAAGGCTGCTTTGCTGTTGGAGATCTACTCCAAGGCATCAGGATCCTGGAATGGAACTGAATTTGAAATGTGCAGGTTAGTCATGTCCCATTATATCAGCAAATCCATATGCTGATATAAGCCAGAGTTTGGACCCATCATCCAATCTGATCACATTCTATATAAATTTAACTCAAGGCCAAAAAAAAAAAAAAAGAATGAAATTCTTTCTAGGTCAAATGAGTGATCTGACATGTTGAGAAGTTGTATTTTTAATAAAATATCTGGAGCTGTGAACTCTTCCATATTGGCTCCTGAGATTAATGAGTCACTTTAGCAGAGCAAACTAAAAAGTTGCATGCAATTCCCTGAGGAAAGTGAAACACTTTTACATGCTGTGCTGAACTTCTACATCTCTGGATGAAGTCTGTATCAGGAAACAAGGGGGTCTGCCGCTGCATGGAGAGTTCAACGCACTGGGGAACGAAGTGCAGATTCTTTTTGCCACGCAGAGTTTTCAATAAGCTGTTCAGCAGTGCTAACCAGCAAAAAGCATACTGCAAGAAGAGTTATTTCTGGTACAGTTGTCACCTGCTTTGGTTTTGGATGTGCAGAAACCTAGGCCTGTGGGAAAAAGAATGATCAGAGATTGAAGTCTTGCTAGGGAGAACATGCCTCTACCTCCATCCTATAAAAGCAGCTATTTTCCAATAGCAATGATCTCACCAGAGCTAGTCACCCCATCAGAAATGCTTATCTGCACCAGAATTTGTGACTCAGAAACACTTGCCAGGCTATCTGAGGATATGAAAAGGTTGAGATACTTGAAGGAAGCCCCTGTTTCCTTAAAGGCCAGCTTCAGCTGTGGGCTTTCTCTGAGTTCATTCAACATATCAGAGTGCAGGGACATAGTCTACAAAGGACACAGGCCTATACCTGAAGCAAAAATCTGCAGGTAAAAAGGACTTACTTGCCACAGAAGTCCTTGTGAATGGCACGAAGGACAAGTAGTAAGTTGGGGTGTGCCTGTAGCCAGTTCTCCACCATATTTGGGTGTCTGGGATCAACTTCCAAAAACACACTCCTGAAAGGACACATTTGAGAGTAGAAAGTGGGGAGATACACACATTTAGGTTGCTAAACTGATACAAATTAGGTCTGTCTTTCTGGATGACTACTATCAGTGCAGGAAATGAGAAGGTCAACGAACACACTGCAATCCAATAATCCTAAACCAGATCATAGCTGACCACTTAAGATGCTGATCCCAACTGCCTCCCTCAGGGGAAGAAAGCATGGATCTTGAGGGGAATTTTCATGGTATTCCTCTGTGTGAGCAGTTAAACCCTTGCATCAAGATGTAAGGATCCCTTTTGAACCCCATGCAGAGATACCACCAGCTTTGTCTTTCTGAAGTTCCCAAAGATTTAAGGCCAGAATGAAGTTTTATGATGCAAATGCATGAAAACTGAGCACTGGACTGGCAGCATGAAGTTCCTCTTTGCATAAGCAGGGTGATGTTAAGTCCCAGTAGCGAGATTTATAAAGTACAAGTTAGTACACAGTACTAACGTCTCCATAAATCAGTTATGAAACACCACCAGCATTCAGACTTACACAGAGGACTGTTCAAAGGAGAGTGCAGCAGTGATAAGGCACTGTTGATCAGACAACCTCAGTTAGTACACCAGGGCTATTTCCATCTCTGCTGCAGCCAGGCTTTACGATGCCAGGCTCATTTCTGAGTTTCCACTCCCACAACGAGGCAGAACCACCCTGGCTTACAGGCACGTGGAGACGATGGAACTGGTTACAGCCTGCGACGGCGCAGCAAGATACAAGTTTAACAGGCAAAGAACAAAGGCCAAGCCCCAATAATACACTCTCCTGAGAATTCCTAAAACATCCCACACTGAATACTCCCTATAAATTCACCAAACGAACTACAAGCTGGGTGTGGATCTCATTCCTGACCTTAAAAAGCCTCCACTCCTCAACGGGGGCTCCACCTTATAAAACAAGCAAGAAGGGAAGTTAAAAATAATAATCCTAACAAACAACCCCACAGGACCAATCTCTGTTGCTGGCAAGTTCTGAGGAGCATCTTCTGCTGTTGTGGTCATGCAAAGCATGAGGAATAAATTCTTTTGCATGCAGTATGCCTCTCAATATTCCTGTTCCTCTTCTCAGAACAGCAGATTTTTCAATGACCTCTCTTATGCTGGTAAAATGTCAGGAATTTTCAATAGGATATGTGAATGCTCTGGCACAACACATGTTTGGGTATCAGCATGTTGATCTTTAAGCACAAAATGGATCCCACATGACAGAGAAAAGGAACCCTCAGTCTTGAGTATTAACCGTGGAGAAATCTAACATTTAAGAAACTAGCCCCGGCTGATGATCTTTCCCCTGGGATATTCAGCATTGTATCCTGGCACAATAAACAAGTTTCCCCTAATTAAAGGGTGGGAGGGAAGTAGAGATCTACATCCATTCTCACAGAGTTCTATATTGCTTCACGTTCAATCAGTTATTCTGCTTAGAAAGCTTCCAGTTTTTGCACTCTTTCTTTTTCTGCTGCTCTTTCATGTTCTTTTTGCTGCTGCTTTGACCTTTAAAGATTCTCACTTCACTAATGACTAGGAGACACCACTACTGGTCAAGGAAGGCTCATATTCCTTTATTAACCAATTTCAAGTTAATTTTGCCTATACACATGACTTTTTTAAACTGCTATTATTAGATGAGGAAGAATGGACATTTTTGCAATTATTTTCCCTCTGTACCTTCCTGTATAAAAAGAAAGTAGAAGTTATAGAAGTGAATAGACAAAAGACATGAAATTCAAATAGAGAACAATGCTTACCCAGAATCCTTCAGAAGAGAAGGAGCCAGAGTCAGAATTGTTTTGATGACTCTCATCCCATCATCTCCCCCATCCAGTGCATCAAGGTCCTCATAGCTGGAGTGCGGGAATAAGACAAGATTAACAGCAATTCATGTGGCATGAGCCAAGCCCTCGAGGATTCACTGCCTTCGAGGCTGGACTGCCTTCGAACCTAGCAGAGTGAATTAGGATGTAGAAAGCTCATCTTTCAGAGTCTGCTCTGGTGCACATCTTGGACAGAGGTGGGCGCAGGACTTTGTCCTGATACGCACGACAATCAATTCGGAGGAAGAACCAGCACGCACAAAGTAGTTCCACATCCCAAAAGAGCTTACTTATATTTGTGTGGGTTTGTTTGCTTAAGACAAGTATTGGCATGAGAATGGGTTGCAGCATTTTCACTGAAGTGTTTTTTCCATCACAAAAAGCTGCTCAGATTACTTGTACTTTCTTTCATAAAGTGAACCCAATTATTTAAAAAAAAAAAAGAAAAGAAAAAATGAAGGTCTAACAGGAAAAACTGAAGCAGTTATGGAATTGAAAACTTGTTAATTTCAGATTGTGTGCTTTTTCCACTTTTATAAATATTTAAAATACTTCTGATACTGTTTCAGACCTGTAAGCAGTATCAATGTAACACTGCATTATTATATACCACATAAACGCACCTACACTATGTACACGTATATTACCTTTGCATGTTTTGTGTGTAATATAAGGAAGCAGAGAGAAAACTTTGCTTCAAGGATGAGGAGAAGAAAAATCTATTTGATTACCGGAAGATTTCTGCATCCAACGAAGCCATGTCTTCATGGAAGACGTATGGGGGGTTACTGACTATAAAGTCTACGGGGCCCCAGAGTAGCAGCTGCTTGGCAGAACCTAGAAAAGAAAAAGAATCACAACCAGCTCTCAACCACAGCAATCTTCTTGTATGCTCAGTGTCAAAATCCTATCCAGGGAACTCTCTCACACATGCCCATGTGTGTTTGGCTCTGCTTTTATCTAATACAATTTTAACCTATTTCTTTTTGGGATAGCCTGGCCTGCTCACTCTCCCACCTTGAATGCGAGAGTGATACAAAGCTAAGCACAGGCAAAGTATCATTTTTGCAGATCAACAGTCCCACCTAGCGGAACACGTTACAAAGCACCTTGATGCTCTGGAGCTCTGTGCCCATCTAGATCTAAAGCAACAACCAGAACTTGAGAGAGCCCACAAAGACCCAGACTAGCTGTCAGGATGCATATCCTTCCCCTTATAAGAGCTGCAGAAAGACCTCCAAGGAGCAAAAGAGCCAGGCCCCCTCAGCAGCATCAACTATCTAACGGCTGGCTCTTCTGCAGACAAGGGTCAGGTCACTACGCTCATGCTACGGTCTGGACTGACGCATACCAGCCCTAAATCAGACATCATGTAACGGTGTGAGTGTGGCACTGTCCTCAGGCCAGCCTCCTGGCACAGGGCATACCCATGCAGATGCAATGCCAACACAGCTACGTGGCTTTTGGACCAGAGCTGGCTGGCTTTACTGCTGTTTGGAGTATGGGCAGCACAAATTTAGATTTGCAGATAGAAGACTGTGCAGACATACCCCTAAGAGGCAGTACAGTGTCAAAAACAATAGTGTCAGAATGACACTATGAATCTACAGTGCTGTAGCTCCTGGCTAAGAAACCACTGAGCACATATCCACCTAACCAGATAAGCCTCACCAAATGGCAGTTTTAACTGGTTTCAGCCAGGTTCGGGGAAGACAATGGGTATCCTTCCCTGGTTCAGCTCACCTAATTTCAGGTGAATAAGGCTGGGCATTTAATCTAAGCTAAATATCTGGCCTCCCTCTAACATCAATGGGTAGACAGGCACATAGATGTTTATCTAAAGCATCCATGTCAGCATAGAATGAGCTACACTCTAGATATTTGCCTCTCCCCAGTAACACTAGAGAGCACCTGGACTACCAGCTCAGACACAACCATTAGACACCTAAACCCAGGAACAATTCACCTTCTGATGTAGTCAGGGACTTCTCTCAGCTGATCATCTGGCCTGGAGATCTCTGATGGGAAAAGCTTCACTGGCTTACTTCTTACTGACCTTTTTTTCTAACTTCAACACCCTCCCAACACCTGCATCCCGAAGGGGTCCCTTGGCTGCCTCTCACGCCTGCCTCCTCCCACCAGAGTAAAAAAAGGAGAAAGACAAAAGGGGATTATAACAATGAAAACAATTACTGTATGAAACATCATGATGGAGGATGTGGATCCTGTCCTGGAGTTGCAGCCTGTAAAATTCCAGGTGCAAGAGCAGAAAGAAGAAAGATTAGGAGGCATGTTTATGTAGATTCACAACCAGCACATTCTATAAACAGATCATTAAATATCACACCTCTTATCTGACACACACATATCCTACCCCACTAACTGCAGCTGGATTCTTCCCAAGCCACAAGGGAAGTTTAGGATCTGCTCTTTGCCCCGTGAACAATGTTCAAAGCAAAGAGCATACTATGCACCCGTGCTGATTCCAGGGTGCAGCTCCTGTGCACCTAAAACATGTATGCATCACCCCTTGCCATATATACAGCAGTATTCCCTCACCA